CAGGTGGAGGACAGCCATGAGGGAGAAGAGCTTAAGCCACCAGAGCAAGAAGTGGAAATCGATAGAAATGCCATTCAAGAAGAAGAAAAGCAAGCAATTCCTGAGTTTTTTGAGGGGCGCCAAACTAAAACACCAGAACGCTATTTGAAAATTAGAAACTACATTTTGGATCAGTGGTAAGAATTGCATTGTACATGTTCTAAAAACTTGATATGTTGAAGTATATTAAACCAAAAGACCTCAGTCCTTATTAACCTAAATACACTGAAAGTACCTAGACTTGTTCATGGTAGCTTCTCAAGCCTCCTTTAGGCACCCAGAGTTGATATTAATGTTTTAGAGTGCTTCCCAGTTCTTTTGGTGGGGATTCTGTGTTGTCCTTCTGTTTTTCTCCTAATTTTCTCTTCTATTAAGGGCTATCCTGTCCTGTTGCAATGGCTTTCTGCTAGATCCTAGAAATGCTACTGAAGATTAACATTGACCTTATTAAATAGCTCTCCTTTCACCCACATAATGTTAATTTACATGGCTTTTAAAGAGAGCTATATTATAAACAAAGTGCTTTTGCACTGATGAACATGCTAAAGAACCATCTTCTGGCTAAGGATGTCATGAGAGTAAGGAGTCCTTAAGAGAAACACTTGCCGTTTATGTAGTGCTTTGTGGTTTACAGAAAGCTGCAATGTATCTTCTCATGTGAGTCTTCACAACAGGCCTGTGAAGTAGGCAGTGGGATCTTCTCTGTTTGAAACAGATTAGCACAGTTCTCAGAGGTTTAGGGTACCTGCCTTTGATCTTTCAGCCAGCCACTGACTCAGGAAAGGTATCCGTCCAGCTCACTCGTTCTGTTACTTTGTTACTCCACATTGCCTAGCTGACGGTTTTTAAATGCTAATTCAATTACATCTCTATTCATACCTGGTTTGGGTTTTGGAAATTAAAGGATGGATTGCCAAAATTGAAGGCCCTCAAAATAGTTTCTACCTCAGAAATGTCATGACTTGTACATACTTAATGTTATTTTAAACAAATTTTATTTGTCACATGGAGTTTTGGACGTTAAGTTAGTAGAGTAAGTTACAGAGGTAGTGTAGATTATATGACAATAGTTTCCTATTAGTACACAAAGCCTATTTGATATCACTGTTTAAATGATCTTATAGAAAAGTGTAAAAGCAAAAGAAATATTTTTAAAGAGAAAAGCCTAAAGTAGAAAACAGAACACAGGTAATACTTAAACAAGGGAAAGGGAAAGTCTGAAAATCAAGAGACCTACTCATCCTTTCTTTTCCATGAGAGCAGATGCGATTGGTTTTATTTAGGGTAGGTTTTTATTAAGGTGTTACCAGCTGTTAACACCGTTGTTCTACCACGTGCCATGCTTTGTATTTCAATTGTCTTCAGTTTGCTTGGCAGTCTCTACAGGTGAAAGAATGAGGATCACAGATGATGAGAACGTGGTTCCAGGTCGCACTAGGGGTTGATCCAGTGTTTAAAAGCCGTAACTCCAGCTGAATCTTCCTTTCCTTCAGAGCGTACAGTGCTGCCCTTTGACTCGTTAGGTCTGCTCAGGGAAGGGGAGGTTTCTGGTCGTGCTCTCCCTGTTCTGACAGCCTGTATTTATTTTCGTCTTGCACATACTGCCCCTGAGAAGGCCACAGTTTTGTCAGTTGGCTTCTACCCTGATCCCTCAGGAATACAGCAGCGTGAAGACAGTTTTGTCTGTTTTATTCATTGAGTCCCCAGTGCTTAAGGCAGTGCTTAGAATATCTTAGGTATTTCAAGTGTTACGGGAAGAAGATTGAATGACTTTGGTGAACAGAAACATTTACTGTCTAAGCCATGGGCAAGGCTGTTGAGTTTCTTGCAGAGCCTTTTGGTTAGAGAAGACAGGTGTAGACTAAGCCAGTTTTCAGGCTCCTGTCATTTTTGATTAGCTGCATTCTTCCCTATTTTCATGTCATATTCATGTAGTTTGCTTTTCTTTCATTGAACACTGGAATTTCAGCTTTTCTGTAGACGTTACAATATTCTCTGTCACAATTATTTTCATATTCTATGTACTTCACAGATATGTAGACTTAAATTTTGTCTGTTTGGGAGTCCTTCCCTACTCACCCTTGCTAACGTAGTCTGCCTGCTTGTTGCCCTGTATCCAGCCACCCACTTAGGCTTCTTTTTCTTTGTAGCGCTGTTATCTAGTAATGTAGTATATATTATTCCTTTATGTATTGATAGTCATTATTGAAATTTAAGATCTTTGAAAGTAGGAACTTTGTATTATTCACTTCAAACCCTTGTTCTTAGAGAGGTGTCTGGGACATGGGATATAAGTACTTATAGAATGAAATGTGACCAAGTAGTATCTGTGCTGTCACTTAGCACCTGGGTCACTGTCTGCATCTTGATCTTATCACTTCCTCAAGTAAGTAGGTGTTGTGGTTATTCTGGCCAGCTTGTTTGCTCCCTTCTAAGATAGGACTGGTAAAACCTTTCTTTTAGAATTATGAAGGTTGAGCATGTGTACCTAACAATGCAGCATTTGGCATAATCAGTAATTGATTTCTACTATTGTAAAGTTGTCTGTTCCTGTTAAATTTTATATTATGCTTTCTAACATAGTACATTAAGCAAATATTTGATTATTATATGAATCTTTAATTTCATTAGGAGTGTTTAATCCCTTTGGAAATCCCTAGAGTACTTACATCTGTTTTCCTTTGCGACTACGTGCTTACAATTAAAAGTGAATATACAATATTTAAATATTTAAAGCTTTTTGAGAGACTTAGTAATTAACAGCATTGGCAAAGCTGGGAAAGCCTTGGGACGGAAAGTAAAACTCAGTGTTAGAACAGTTGCTTAGCAGCATGAGACTATTACCATAAAACAGGAAGATGAGGAGGACTGTCTCAGTACTAAATCTTAATTCCCAAAGTGCTCTTTTATTCACAGATGTAGATGTGAATCTGGTTCTGTACAAAATAAGCTGCTAATTTCAAGGTTGGGGGGAATACCTGGGATCTATGGGACTTAATACTGGGGGAAGAATATTTGTAACACAGTCACACTTACAGGTACTTGTAAGTTGTTGCTTCATTTAAAGATATTTAACTTGTGAAAAAAAGGACACTTGGGTATTTATTTGTACACAAATAGGCATTAAGTGAAGGTAAAAATTTAAGCTATTTCATATATTAAAAGTTTTCCCCAGAAATCCCTTTTTAAATGTTTCTGTTCATCCAAAATAATTGTACTTCCATCTCTTAATTAGGGAAATATGCAAACCGAAATACTTAAATAAGACCTCAGTACGTCCTGGCCTGAAGAACTGTGGGGATGTTAATTGTATTGGACGGATTCATACATACCTCGAGTTGATAGGAGCAATCAATTTTGGATGTGGTAAAAATAAAAACCCAACAACATCTTTTACTTGGCATTTTTATCCTTATAGCACCCATTCATTTTTATGATGGTTCAAATTCAAGTAGATTTAAGTATTTGGAATTCAGAGAAAGACTGTAACATTATGAAATAAGTGTATCATTAAGACTTGATGTTAAACAGATTTCTGCTAATTAAACTGCTTCCCTTTGAAAATACAATTTTAAAGAAATATTTTATCTACATAATAGAAAGAATTTAACAAAGAGTTCTTTGTCAAGTAAAAGTGAATAATTTATGAGAAATCTAAGGATAGTCTACTTACTTTAAAAAGATACAGGCTGAGAGCAGCATGGCTGTTGAAAAGGTTTAGATGTTGGGGCATTTTTTCTGCACATATTCTAAGATCCAGCAAAATCTGAAATATGAAGTGTTACTCACCCTGTACCATCTTCCCGCTAGAGATGCTTTCTAGCAGTGATTAAATAAAGGCAGTAACTTATGAACCTATATATTTAGTTATAATAAAAGCACAAAAGTATTTTAACAAGGCTGGTGAGGTGCCTCAGTGGCATTTGCCCCTAAGCCTGAGACTTGAGTTTGATCACTGGGATCTGCTTGCTAGGAGAGACCCAACTCCTACAAGTTGTCTTATGACTCAGACATGCACACACGTGTACATATGCATACAGTTTTTTTTATTAGCGGAAGTCTTTCACTCTTGATTTTTCTGATTCAAAGTTGATGCGTATGCATATGTCAGAATGAATTCTTCCCGGTCACTGACTTCAGACGACAGAGCTCTGAAGAAAGCTAATGGTGATGAGCAGCCAGGGCCTTACCACCCCTGTTTTGGAGGTGAGCTAGAGAGCGCGGCAGAAAGCCTCTGACAGGTGATTTCACTTTTGTATTGAGAATGGACAGTCTGCCTTAGGGTTACTCTTCCACATTGTGGCATTGGTGCCCCAAGCTCTGTGTAGATGCCAGCTATTTGAGAAGCTAAGCTATTGTAGCCGCAGTCACTGAGATGACATGTTTTCTGTACTAAACTGCCGCGGTCAGCAAAGTGGGCTCAGTACTCATTTAACCAGAAGTTATACGAGTTACTTATTCTTTATAATGGCTTTTACTGAGCAGCATTAGCAGTATTATTCCTTTGAGAACTAAGAGGCACATGAAATGTATGGTTGTGGGATCAGAACCATGGAGCTCAGCTGTAGTCAGTATAGTATATCTTCTTGTTTAACCGATTTCACAGAGTAATAGATTGTTCTGTCTTTCCTGAATCCCAACAGAGCAGGCAATATATAACAGGCCACAACCGGTCGATAGAGTACGAGTGAGTGACAGGACAGATGCAGAAGCGGCCTACCAGCTCGCCCGGCGCCTGCAGTCTATGGTAAGCAGCTGCTTTACTAAACAGACAGACTCTGAGTGGAAGAACATGTTTTCTCTTGTGTTTCACCTTAGCTAGTTAGTTTTCTGGCTTCTATTGACAAAATCAACCAAACTGAAAAACCCTTCAAGTCCACTGCCAGAGTCTAGAAACATCTTCTACTAAAGTGGCCTTGGGCTGTTTGTTTTGATTTATAAACCTAACACGTTAGGTGCTAGAGAGATGGCCCAGCAGTTAAAGAGTATTTGTTGCTCTTGCAGAGGACCCACGTTCAGCTCTCAGCACGCACATCATGCAGACCACAAGCATTTGTAACTCCAGTTCCAGAGGAACTGACACCCTGTACTGGCCTCCTGGGCATCTGACATGCATGTAGTACACAGACATACATTAAGGCAAAACACACATAAACATTAAGAAAACATAAAAACAAACACAGCTACACACACACCAGCTGAGTGTGGTGGCACATGCATTTAACCTCAGCACTGAGAAGGTAGAGACAGGCAGATCTCAGGGAGTTCAAGACCAGCCTGATCTCCACAGTGAGACCCTTTTCCAAAACAACAGTTATCCAGTAAGTATCCTCTAAGGAAAAATGTAGTAAGTTCTCATTCACACTGCAGTGGTGACAGGTAAAATGAGGCTCGGACTATTTTGGCTGTGAACCATTTCTATCTGAATTTGCTGTCTTCAGAAAGGTTGTTTTCAAGTGACTCTTTGGAGATCGTGCAAGTTACACACCTCTGGCAGCTGGTCCATTTTAAAGACCTCAGATGCGAGGTTTGCAAAACTAGTTGAGTCTCAGGTGCCACACGTTTTGTAGTGTTTCACTGTTTGAATTAACTTGGCAATGGCCTTTCTAAATCTGGGGTAATCATTTTGCTTCTGTTTTCACTATATCTTTTGCTGTTGTTCCTTTCTACCACAGATAATTAGAAGCAAATCTGTTTTCTTGGTGCTTCTTTCTAGTCTTCACAGTATTTTTTCCTGGTATTTTAGCTCCTAAGTGGTAAAAGAAAGGAAGATAAAGAAGAAATCAAGTAAAATGCAGAGAGTCATCAGTACCATGTGTTCAAAGTGGTACCTCGATGCCCCCACTTAGCTCCTACCCTGCTAGCTGCTGCTAGTGCCCATGAGTTGGTTGAGTATTTCTAAGCAGAGAACTGACTTAGCTGTGATCAGCAAAATACAGTTTAGTGAGTTGATGATCAGACATCAAAATAGTCAGGTAATGGAGATTTAGATAGTTATTATTTAAGTTTTGTGTGTTTGTGTGCTGAGGAGTTTGTGAGTTTTGTTACATTTTGCCTTTATTTTTTTCTTAATATAGCGTACAAGAAGACGTAGGGTCCGAGACCCATGGGGAAATTGGTGTGATGCAAAAGACTTAGAAGGGCAAACATTTGAGGTAATATTGACCTTATTTGTGGCTTGTTCTTGAAAACTTGTTTGTCTCATTATTTTAATCCCGTATATTATACTAATTTCATTGTTGAAGTCTGTGTCCTGTTCCCTTGTCAGTTTATGGAAAAGTTTCCAAATCAGAGGCATCTGTAGTACAGTTAACCAGGAGTCTGACGTGCGCTCAGAGGCATCTGTAGTACAGTTAACCAGGAGTCTGACGTGCGCTCAGAGGCATCTGTAGTACAGTTAACCAGGAGTCTGACGTGCGCTCAGAGGCATCTGTAGAACAGTTAACCAGGAGTCTGACGTGTGCTCAGACTTTTGATTCTTAATCTCTAAGTCAAGAATAAGTGCCAGACTAAGGAGTTGGTGTGCTCTGTTCATTTTATTAACTGATGTTCCTTTGAATAATGTTTGTGAAACCAATTAAAATAGTGTTCTAAACTTTAGGCATACTTAATTATAAACATTGAAGTGTTATTTCTATAGAAATTGGGACCCTGAAAGGAAACATAGGCAACAAATATGCATACATGCACACATGTGTTTACATATAGAATTAATTGTAGATAATTAGTGTAATAGAGTGGAAAGAAGGCATAAATATATTTTTATTAGCTTTGTTGTCTCAAGTAACTACTTAACTGCACTAAATCTCAAATTTTAATTTATGAAATGTGAATGATACCTCTCTTCTTGTGCCCAGAGTCTGAACCACCAAAAACCACCAAGAGACCAGGTCTGATGCAAAAGCAGAGTCTTTTAAATTACAAGTTAACTTGGGTCCTCTGTCTGTCTGACACAGCGGGTGGAGTAGGAGAGACCTGGAGCCACAGTGGGGCAGGGCATTTTTGGGGGGTAATTTAAGTGGTTGTATGGGGGGGGGGGATCTGGGGAATCTTTTCAGGATTGGCACACCTTCAGGCTCAGGGAAGGTGTCCTAAGTTGATTGGTTAGCTGCAGCTGCAGAAAGATTGCTGTACCTGGGGTGGTTCCTGCATTCTATCATTATCAGAGCATAGCCAGAGCCACCAGCTAACTTCTGATTGGTTCCTTACCATAAGGAAAACTTCTGGCAGCTTCTTCCCCATAATTAATTAGGGCAAGATCAGGGGCTCAGCACATTCTGCTGAGTCAGGGGCCTACATCTTGCTGGTCTTTTCTGCAGTCTGTTGTGACTGCCAAAGGCGGGGGCTGGGTGAGGATCTGGGCCCTTCATCCTGAAAGGATTTAAAAGAAATGAGATGAAGTATATTAAGGTCCTAGTGTTAGTCATTCAGTAAGCCTGTTTGTAGGTACTCAATAAATGTTACCTTTCTCATGCTCCTTCCCCCACTTTCCTGTCCCTAACCTTACACCGAGTCCTCTTGTTGGCATATTGATAAGTAATCCATGGTTCCTTCCATAAGGTTGGTCTAAGGATATGAGGTACTCCCAAAGAGTGTGATGAGGAAAGAGTTTGAACCAAACGATCAGGAGAAGAATCATCTCAAAATGTAGATGGAAGCATTCTAGGCTGAGGGAGTTGCACAAGCAAAGGTACAGATACAGGAAAATGTTATTGTTCTGGGAAAGGTGCATAGTCTGTTAAATTAGAGTGTAGGGGTGGTCGTAGAAATGACTAGGTCAAGAACATTAGCGTGTTCAACTTCACAGCACACTGTGACAGTGATTGCTGCTGCTATTATTTGTTTTCTAAAGAAGAGCTCAGCAGTGGCCTCTCGGCTGATAATGAACAGAACCATACACTTCCGCTCCAGAATTTTATGATGTTGGGGCATCTCACTCCCACTGTGCCAGAGATGAGACCAGGGCCTCATGTGTGTTAGACAAATTACTACTTTACCACCCTCAGCCATTGAAATCTGCACTCTTGATCATTACAAGGTGCTGTCTTAAGTTGTAAAAGAAAAATTAGCCACCTGAGCCCTGGAAACTAGAAAAGAGAAATAAAGATTTGGAGGTTTTTGGAACTCAAGGACTGATACCCTTGATTGAAATGGGCAAGTCAGGAGAAGAAACACAATTTCATTTTGATAAGGCTATATATTTTGGCATAATTTAAAAAGTTATGGCCCAGTATTTATTAGTAGTAAGGAAGCAGTGCATACTGACTTGGTCGGTCTTGCTCTCACATGTCCTTAACTGTTTGATTTCTTCTACATGAGAAGCTGATGAACTCTTTGATTGGCTGTTTTGTTTTAGCATCTGTCTGCGGAAGAGTTGGCAAAAAGAAGAGAAGAGGAAAAGTGCAAACCTGTTAAATCTTCAAAAGTTTCAAAACTACCAAAAAGGTACAGTGTTATATAATGTATTTTCTTAACACACAAATACGTGAACAAATAACCAGTAGTTTCTGTAGATGCTTTGTATACGATGTACATGGAGGTGATCAGGCATGATGACGCACGCCTTTAATCCCAGCACCTGGGAGGCAGAGGCAGGTGAATTTCTTTGAGTTTGAGGCCAGCCTGGTCTACAAAGCGAGTTCCAGAACAGCCAAAGATACACAGAAACCTTGTCTCAAAAAAAAAAAAAAGAGTAAATTTTAATTTGTAGAATTGTCTGAGTACATTGAATTCCTTTATTTTCTATGCATCTTGCTTTGGTCTTTCACTTTTCAAAGCAAGATATTAAGAAATGCTGTTATAGCACAAATAATAAAAACTCAGAGACAGCTATTTGGGTTTAAATTTTCTGAAGATCTGAAAAGCACAGACCTCAGATCAATGAGATGCTATCCTCATGAATCCTGAAGACTGCACACTCAACTGAGTTACTGTCTCTCCACCAAGCCATATTGCTCCTGTCTCAAACCCCCTAGTGCTGGGATTAAAGGCGTGTGATCCCAGCTGCTGGGATCACCTGTGTGTGGGCTGTTTCTCTTATAGACTGATTCACTCTTTTGTAGCCCAGGGTAGCCTTGAACTAACAGAATCATCTGCCTCTGTCTCCCGAGTCCTGGAATTAAAGGTGTGTGCCATCACTCCCTGGCCTGTATGGCTGACTAGGATGCCTGCTTTGCCCTCTGATCTTTAGGCAAGCTTTACTTATCAAAACACAAGTAGTAGTACTCTATGCTGTAGCAGTTGTATTTCCTTGGCAGGGCCTGGTTCCTCGCTTACAAAATAATTAAAGTGGCTGGTGTTGCTTGCTGTGTCTTAAGTACTTTATGTGAGCCCACTCAGTTCCTTGATAACCCTTTGCAGTGTGAGTATCATGTCCATTTTACCTTAGAAAAACTGAGTGACAAAGAAGTGGCCATGTTGTATTTGGTCATGCTACCTAGTGTGAAAACTGATTTAAGCCCAGGAATCCTTAGACCTGGTAGTGTAACTCAGCACATTGTCAGTTACTTCTGCAAAATGGAAATTGAACCGTACCCTGTTGACAGATAGGCTAAGTATTTTTTTTAAAAAAAGAAAAAAAAAACATTAATAAGCCTAGACTCCTTCCAGTATTCATACATTTTATTTTCTGAATCTCTGTGAAATTTAGCTTTATTGTTATTTTTTAACTGTTCTGTCTTGCCAGGAACCTTTTAAATCCACACGTAACTTTTCTCAATCTTTGTACTTTTTTTGCATTGATTCGTCTGCATTTCAACAAAGTTGTTGCTTTTTCTATTATCGATCACCTGATAAAAAGGTCTACTGGAATAAGCTGCGGAAATAGTTATTCAGCCATCTAATGTACTTTAGCACAGCTAACCCATATGCCTTTATCTTATTCACACACAGATCATAGATATCTTGCTTAAAACGCAGATTTGAAAATGGTAGTGTCTAGTTTACAACAAATCATTCCTGCCAATACTGTATGTACACTTACTGTGACATATTTTTCATGAATCCATTGATAGTAATTACCTCTTTGCTCATCTAGAACGTTACAGGTATTCAGTATCTGATGCTCCTCTTTCCAGTATGAACTGTTTGTGTTTTGTCCGTGAAGCGTCTGTAGCCATCCTCAGCAGCCCTTCAAGAAATACCAACCTGCTCCTGTCTGTATAGGTTAAGTCCACAGACATCCTTAAGTGTATTCTCTCTCCAACATTTCCAGTCTGTCTCAGTCTGCATTATTATTATACTCTTACCCTCAAGCCATTTCTCCAGTGCATAAACGGTTAGTTTTGGGGTTTTTTTGGGGGGGGGTCATTTTGTTTTGTTGTTTTGACACAGTCTGTCCCAAAGTGGTCCCAAACTTGAGGTATAGCTGAGAATGACCTTAAACCACTGATCCTCCCGCTTCTACTGCCCAGGTGCTAAGATTACAAGCATCTCACCCATCTTACTTTTCATTCAGTTCATTTAAAGATCTTTTTATTCAGTTTTTAAAATTCCTACATTTTGGGCCCTGGGACAGAAGCCTAATTAAAAATAAAACACCCTTCCTCACAGATTCTTTGTCAGATGGGAATTCAGCATGCTGCTCTTTGCAAGTTGTCCTCCTAGAAACATTGCCAGTTGCTTTTCTGTCTATAAACATTGTTCTGATACCTGGAGATACAGTTCAGTGATTAGGAGCACTCACTACTCTTGCAGAGGACCTAGGTTCAGTTCCTGGCACCCATATGGAGGCTCACAACCATCCATAACTAGTTCCAAGGGATCTGACATCCTCTGGACCTTTGTGGGTACCAGTTACACATACATATCTACATTTAGGCAAAACACTTACACACATAAAGTAAATTTTTATAAATCTAAAAACAATAGTAAATTTTAAAAATTGTTCTGCTATCTTCTTTGAAACTTAATTTTAGTGGTCAAAGTCTTTTTTCTGGTTTGCACATGCTTTTGTATTTGGCCTTGCTTAGATTCCCCTCTCCATCTCTTTACGTTCTGAAATAATGTCATAGGGCTTTCTGTTTGCTTTGGTTTGTGTAATAGACTTGCTTGTTACCCTTCGTTTAGAAAGTATTTATTGAGTCCCCGCTATAGTGGATCTGTTACGATACTGACAAGTTTTGGTGTGCATGTGTTTCCTTTGAGACAGTTTCAGTATGCATTCCTGGTTGGCCTAGAGCTCCCTCTGGAGACCAGGCTGGCCCTGCCTCCTGAGCAGTGGGGTTTAAGGCATATATCACAACAGCCTGACAAGCTGTTTTGAGAAACTTGCTACTTGAACTTCCTGAACTCCTGTTGGGGAAATAGCTGTGTACCTGAACTTACACTATCTCCTTCAGTTGAAAAGCTGCATCTGCTAACCAGTTCCTTCAGTTGCTGAAGTTGCTTTGTCCCAGAGTTCCTGCTTTCTGTCAGACCTAAAAGGACATGTGGCTCCTCCTTAGAAGGGTTCTCCTGCTCTAATATTTGTTCATACAGGCAGAGATTTGAGTTTATATTATTACTAGTTTTTCAAATTAGTGATTAATCTTTTTTTCTTTTTCAGCTCACTTGATCCCTTCCAACTGATACCTTGTAACTTTTTCAGTGAAGAAAAGCAGGTATTGATATCAATGAGTAATCACAAATAATGTCCCCATGGGACAGGAAATACTTAGTCTTTGCCGTTTGTGTGAGGCAAGTGTGTGGGTGAATTGGACACAGCAGGCAGGGTACAGTAAGGATCGGTGACCCAGCCGGGCAGAAGGTGGGAGGGAAGAGCAGTTTGCTGCTAGGACTTTGAAGCTTAGTTGTTTTTAAGTCTCATTTGTACTGAACTTTGATTAATGATGAAAACTTGGTGGGTAAGGAGAAAAGGTGGGTATGCCAACTGTGAGAACAAAATGTTTTTGTTTTTATGCTTTTGTGCTTTTTTGGGGTTTTTTTTGTTTGGTTTTTGTTGTTGTATTTTATGTTTTTAGGTTCTCCTTTTCTTTTTTTTATATATTCCAGGAGCCATTTCAGGTGAAAGTAGCTTCAGAAGCACTATTAATAATGGATTTGGTAAGGATAACCTATTGTACTTCACTTAGTTATTCTGGTTTCTGTTCTTGAATTTCCATTATTCGTTTTTTATAGGTCTAAGAGAAAGTGGAAGACTTATATTTCAGATTTTAACTATTTTCTTTATAAGAAATCTACTTTCTTTTCTTTTGAAGGAAAGGCAGACAATTGCACGTTTCCATATTTTAGAAAAAATAAATTGCCGTGAGTTTTGCAGATTGTCGCCCGTGTTCTAATATCCTGTGTCTGCTGCCTGGTAGATGACTGACATCCACTCCTTGTGTGCCCTTTACTGCAGACCCTCTAGCAGTTGTGTGTGTTTGAGGTCATTGACTACAGGAGGTTCTGGAGGGACTCACTCTGTCCTTTGAAAGCAAATGGTATCTTCCACCTTCCTCTGTGCTTCAAAGCTTGATGGCAGCCGGAAGGGACTGACACCTGAGTCCCCTGCTTCAAGCCCCGCTGTCAGCTCCTTGCTGTCTCTGTTCAGAGCAGCGCAGCTGCTGCTGTGCAGCTGTCCTAGGATTCTTCATTGGCTGCCTGTGTGAATAAGGTCTGAGTCTGTCCTGTTTCCCGTAGCATGCTCACGTGTCTATGGCGGAGGTGATTGGGCTGTTAGGAGGAAGATACTCAGAGGCTGAGAAGACCCTTGAAGTAAGTCTTAATGTTTCACACAGTTCTTGCTGCCATACCAAATATTTTATAGAATTCAGAAAGTATAATTGGTTTTTATCAGGACATATGAGAGTATGCAAGTATAGAAAGCTAAGTATTCAGAAGTGACTTAGCATTCCATTTACTGAACATCTGTTTCCTATCAAGAGGAAGAGGATTTTGCCAGCCTTGGCTACCCACTACCTTCCCCAGTGAAAAGCTACAACTTTTAAGGGCAGTAATGTATTCTAGTGCTTGTGGGTAAATGCTGGCGTACTTCATTCTGCTGAAATTATTTTCATATCTAATAGGAATTTTTGAAAATGCCTTTGGGTGGGTGTTATGGTGCAACCTAGAAAACTAACCATTATCATGCCTTTTAGATTAGAAAATGCTACCTGAGTTTGTAGACTACAGTCTCACTTTTGGGGTTTATTTGGCAAGTAATCGAATTGGTGGGATTTCACTATAATGTAAGAACAATCCTTTACAGGTCTGTGCAGCAGAACCGTGTAACAGTTTGAGCACAGGACTACAATGCGAGATGGATCCTGTATCACAAACACAGGCTTCAGAAACCTTGGCTCTGAGAGGCTACAGTGTTATTGGGTGGTACCATTCTCATCCTGCCTTTGATCCGAATCCATCTTTACGAGATATTGACACACAAGCTAAATACCAGGTGTGTTTATAGTGCTATGTACCTACATTTTGTAAATTATTATACATCCTCCTATTGATTTTTGTGAAATAAACACGTTAATTTTAGCTTACACTAACATTCTTTACATCTTCAGTTTTGAAATAACGTGCTTCTTTTCGTATTAAATAAGTAAGCATTGAGAAAGTCAACAATTGAGTGTAGGCAGGTGTGTGTGTGTGTGTGTGTGTGTGTGTGTGTGTGTGAATGGACAAGCTAGAGCCCTTAAAAAACTGTCAGGAAGAATTAGGACTAGACTTGTTATAACTGTAGTAATTGGAAACATTGAGATATCTCTTCGTAAAAAACAAGTTATATTTTTACTCACTGTTAGGTTTAATGTGTATTTCCTTTTTTTTTTTCTTTTCTTTTTATTTTTCAAGACAGGGTTTTTCTGTAGCTTTGGGGTCTGTCCTGGAACTTAATCTTGTAGATCAGGCTGGCTTCAAACTCAGAGATCCACCTGCCTCTGCCTCCCAAGTGCTGGGATTAAAGGCGTGCACCAGTACTGCCCCACCTACTGTGTATTTTCTATGTAGATAGCTATTCGTAAATTATTGCCATGTTAATAAGAATTACAGTCAAATTTTTTGACATCATAGTATGTAAAGACATTTGTGGTATATGTTTTGTTTTGTTTGACAAAGGTTATTCTGTGGGCCTAGACTGGCCTAGAACTCGTGGTAATTCTGCATTCTCCTGTCTCAGCCTCCTAAGTACTGAGATAGATGTGTACCACCACACCTATATGCGGCACTTCTGTTGTCTTTTTGTTCTCAATTTTGTATGTATGTTTGTGAGGTGAGGCGCACACTCCTCTGTGTTTGCACATGAACCAGGAGAGAACATTTGGTCCTGTTCTGTCACTTTCCATTTTATTCCCATGAGATGGGATTTCTCACTGACCCTGTAGCTAAGCTGGTACCCAGCAGTCCTGCCGTCTTCCCTTCCCCTTCCCCAGTACTAAGGCTACAAGTTACAGGTGCCTATAACTGGTTACGACAGGCTTATTATGCGGATTCTGAATAGGTGAAACCTGGTTCTCCTGCTTACACAACTACTCTTGTATCCTAAGCCAGCTCCCAGCCATGCTGTTTGTATTTTTAAGGAGTGTCTCTGATGAAGGTGAACAGTTTGGGCCTGAAATGAGTACACAAGACATTTCAATCAGTTGCTGCTATTTAGATAGGGCCCTTTTTTGTTTGTTTGTTTGTTTTCTTTCCTCCAGTTAACTATCAGTTAGAGCCATGATAATTGAAATTAATTATACTTTTCATTGCAGAGTTACTTCTCCAGAGGAGGAGCAAAGTTCATTGGGATGATTGTTAGTCCATATAATCGAAGTAACTCTTTACCATACTCCCAGATTACCTGCTTGGTTATAAGTGAAGAAGTTAGCCCTGATGGTGCCTATCGTAAGTTTCAACAGTAATAACTTCTTACTGTCCCTGTCCTCAAAGAACTTATAACTGTGTAAAACTATTTGATGAGAAAGTGTGTGTATCAGCCAAGGACTCATTGCATATCACCTAGTTAAAGTACCCTCTTCCCTTTTATTCTAGTGTTACCATGTCCTTAGATAAAAGGAAGAAAATGGAGAAACATTAGAGCAGGCAGTGGATTGTGAACACTGGAGACATTGTGTTGCACAGTGTACATACTAAGCACTGTAAACACTGTGTGTATAGGAAGTGTGTATATATTGGGCACTGGAGATATTGTAGAATGTAAAACACAGTTCTTTTCTCATAAAAATATTTTCATAAATCCATTCTTGCTTTCTCTGCTGTGGCATGCAAATAAACAAAACCATAACCCATCCTTCTATTACCTCCTGGGATATTAGGATTCCCAAAGACAAACTGACTTCAGATCTCCCAAGTCTCATCTGTCTCAAGAAAGAACTAGTTTGACGTAGCCAACTACCCAGCTTAGTTTCTCTGGGATGTGTGTCTCCTGGTGACTGTTGTGGGCAGCTCTGTCTACAGACTAAGGCAGGGAGGGAACTTTGTAAGGAGGTGGGTGGAGGCTCAGATTTCTCTGGGCGTGTGGTTCTGTATGAACTACATTTGCACCGTTCCCTTTCCTTTGACACTACAGAGTGTATTGTACTCACTTTTCTATCCAGCTTCCAGTGTGGGGCCTGGCATAAAGTGGATTCTAAGTGAATGTTTGCTAATAATTAATTTCTCTTTATTCTTAATCATCTTTGATGCTCTGTAAAAATCTCAGCACTGTTGACTATTGATGTATTTTTTAATAAGTCAGCAGTACTTTTCTGCCTTAATGACCACTTTGGCTTTTAATGCTATTTGTTTATTATTTTTATATCCTTATTACCACTTAATCAGCACTGCGAATTTTTTTTTGAGTGAGTTATACCAGGAGTAGTTCAGAATGTTCTACTGAGTATAGTACATAAAGCACATGATTCCTCAGCTTAACTATAATTTATAAAAGTTACAACAGAAAGCATTACAATAAACTTTTCTTCACTTTAAGTCAGATCTCAGCCTTCTAGGTTCAGGTTATGAGCCTGTATTACAATCATATCTAATACAGTTAGTTGCTACTGAGGACATGTGACTATTCACATTTTATTCATTAGAATTTAATAATTTAAAATTTATGTAATTCTGTTTCTGGCTAAAATGAAGAAATAAGGACTTTTTTGAATCAACCAAAATAGTAGGCAAAATATACAAAACAGTAGTATTTTACTTAGGATGTAATTTAGGCTGTGAAGGAAAATGGTTGCTAGAAGATGGGAACAAATCAGTTAAGCCCAGGTTGCTGTACGTTAGTGACCAGGAGGAGAGAAACACAACTGGCAACCTTGAGTGGAAGTGATGGAGCTGAGACGACTAAGTTACCAGAGAACAGTCTGAACTCCAGAGAGCTGTGAACAATACCCTCGAGTACTTAGTAAAATATGGACAGCTCTGTTTGTGAAGAAGCTAGGAGAGGCAGGAGTCAGCCACTGGGAAGAACTGCACAGTCGGAATGCCTGGTGCTTCTGTCAGCTTTTCTTAGGAATGCTGCCCCACGGGCAGCGTCCCCACGGGCAGCGTCCCCACGGGCAGCGTCCCCACGGGCGTGATGGCTTGTACCTCAGAAGGTACTATGCCTGCTTTGCCGAGAACAGTCCCAGTTTGTTACTGATACTGCCCTTTTCTGATGAAAAGGCCTCTTGGCCTGGGTGATGAGTGAGATGCCATCCTGTCTTTCACAGTGCTTTTGATGGAACTGTCAGAAAAGGAGATTGGAGTTGATGACAGTGTGCTTCTTTGCCCTCCTCTAGGTTTACCCTACAAATTTGAAGTCCAGCAGATGTTAGACGAACCTCAGTGGGAATTAGTGTTTGAAAAGACAAGATGGATAATTGAGAAATACAGGCTTTCCCATAGGTATGTGTTATGGTGTGTTATGACCCCACATTTGCAGTCTTTCTCATTAAATTGAATCGGAGAAAGAAAGCCTAGATCAAATAGAGAACCCTGATGTCTGGCATCCCAGCAAGCAGTGTCTTTGTCACCAGTTTCTCTTCAAATTCCTTCTTCCAGCAGTGTCCCCATGGATAGAGTCTTTCGCCGGGATTCTGACCTTACTTGTTTGCAGAAAGTAAGCTGCCTTCATTTTTAATTGGCTTCTGATGTGGGATTTCCCCTCTGTGTGCTATGAATATATTTTATTACCATTAGTTATTGAAGAAGCTGTTTCAGCCAGTGGCTTAGTAAAGCCGGGTGGGCAATCTGAACAGAGACAGAGAAAGTACAAGGAGAAAGACGCGAGCAGAGCCAGCCAGAACCTTACCGGTAGGCCACAACCTCATGTGATACACAAAATAATAGAAATGGGTTAATCTATAGTGTAAGAGTTAGCTAGAAATGTACATAAGCTACTGGCCAAACAATGTTGTGATTAATATAGTTTCTGTGTTGTTATTTGTGTCTGGGTGGCTGGTAAATGAATGAGCAGTCTCCACCTACAGACTTCATTATTCAGATTCCAAAGCTGCTGTTCTTGTTTTTCCCACTGTTCTGTGAATACATTCTGTTTTCCTTTATTAATATACTTTGTAAAATTAATGTATTCTATTGGCTAAAGGTATACATAGAAATAATACTCTTTTAGAGTGCATTTGTCAATGTTGACTGATATATTTCTTAGCAGGTTACAATTGTGTACAATGAAGAACCTTTGATCTTTTCTTTAAAATTCATAAGTAGCATGTTTCCCTTTTGACCATAATAGTTGGCATTTAAAAAAAAATATATAGTATAAATCTAATTTAAGTTTAAGTGGTCATTTGCTCTAACTTAGTACTTGGGAAATAAGGATTTAGAACCGCACGCGCCCCCCCCCCCCGCCCCCCCACACACACTTCTGGTTAAGATGAATAGACTGTCAACACTTTTTTTTAGTCATTTGGGAATATTCAGAAAGAATAAGCATACTAAGTTCTTTTTGCTACATTTGTCTACGTACAATTGAAAAACCAATGTGTGCATCTCCAGGAAAACTGGCCTAAAACTATGTACTTAGTTCTTTGTTGTTCCCGTCTCTGTCTCTGTTGTTCATTTGTCTGGTGATGGTGCTGGAGCTCAGTTTTGAGCCTTGTTTCTGGTCTCCAGACTTCATACGTGGACCCACAGTTCTGTGTGCTTCATTGTTCCTGTTGTTTGCTCTTCAGTCTTTAGAGGCAGCTCTGCGGATGTAAGCGTATGGTTACAATGGGCAAAGATCACAGATTTGGCCAGAGCTGGGAGCGCTGCTTGCATGTGTTGATTTCCTGTGGAGTTATGAGGAAGCTAAGCTCAACCTTCAGCAGCAATTCCAGTAGTCCAGGCTGAGATTGTTGAGAACGGTGTTTCTTATTTGAGTATTACTGGGGTTTGAAAAGAAATTGTGATAATTATGCAAGCCCTCTTACTACTGAAGTATTTAAACGCAAAACTTTTTATTTTCAACTAGCTTTTGGAGTGTCTAAGGAAAACATTAAGCAAAGTAGCCAATTGCTTCATCGCTGAGGAATTCTTGACCCAAATAGAAAATTTGTTCCTTTCCAATTACAAAAGCAAGGAAGAAAATGGACTGGCTGAAGAGAACAGTACAACGGAGTTGTTCTTGTAATATTTTAAAAGTAAGACATTGTGCTCTAATCTTAGCATGCTACTATAAATAATTGAGATTTTAAAGCAATATAACTTAAATATTTTTTCTTTTAATCTATAAAATTCTAAACTTTCCTATTATAAATAATGTGAAAAGGAAGAGATATGGGCTTATTCTCATATAGTGGTCATCATATGCTGTGTCCTCCGACTGCATCCTCAGACTGTGCTGAGCTCTTGTCTCCTCCTGCCTTATATTCCTTTCTCTGCCCAGCCATATCACTTCTGATCTCCACCTCCCTAGTCCTGGCGTTAAAGGTGTGGGCCACCACTACCTGACTCAGTTTCACTTTGAGACTGGATCAGTCTAGTGTAGCCCAGGATGGCCTTGAAGAGATTCTTCCTCTTCTGTCTCCGAGTCCTGGGATTAAAGGTGTTGCCACCACTCGTGGTTTAGCTCTGCACTCTGATCTTCAGGCAAGCTTTATTTGTTTTTTTTAAAAAATATTTATTTATTATGTATACAATATTCTGTCTGTGAGTATGTCTGCAGGCCAGAAGAGGGCACCAGACCTCTTTACAGATGGTTGTGAGCCACCATGTGGTTGCCAGGAATTGAACTCACGACATTTGGAAGAGCAGGCAATGCTCTTAACCTCTGAGCCATCTCTCCAGCCCCCCAAGCTTTATTTGTTAAAATACAAACAAAATATCACTACAAGGACCAATTAGGGAATATTGTGTTAGCTGGAAAACTGGTGTTTACCCATTGTCCAGTTCCTCTTACTAGTGACAGTTTTGTTAACTTGAAACTGAATTTGTTACTGCAGGTGTAGCCAAAGAACAAGGCAGCACTGGATGGAGTAGCCTCACAGTCTTGGGTGGCCTGAATCGGATTTGGGCTATATAATTTAAAGAAATGGAGTTTATTTTCTCTAGTCCAAGGTTCCTATGGACAGCTGAGGCTATAACATCTAACCTCCCAGTGTTATTCCAGCTCTGATTTTATTTGCTGATTTTTTTTTTTTTAGGTTGCTTCTTTTGTAACTTCATTTTAAGATTGTACAGTTCCCAAATGAATGTATATATTTTTAAAGGAAACTAGTAGTTTTTCCATTCCCCTGAGTACATTTAATATGAACAGTGAAACATACTTCCCCTTGAAGTCTGGAAGTATAAGAACTCCAAAGCACAAAATTAGGAATTGCGCTCCCAACCTAATTTATGCCAGCTTTGGTATAAGACCTTAATTCTGTCACATCTCTAAATCCAGGAGTCTCAGTTGAAATTCAGAGAGCTGAATTTTATAACGTGGTGTCTCTTCAAATAGAGGCCACAAAAGCCAGTAGCAGTTCACTCTCTTGTGCCCTTCTCCTCCTCACCTGTCTCTCCAGAGGCTGGTGCAGCAGACCCAGGAGCCGTGTTGATTAACTTGCTGCATTGATGTTTCCCTGGAATGCTGCTGAGTTGTTAAGAGTTCTTTGTCAAATCTGAGTTTTTCCACATGCTAATCATCTTCACTGACCTGAGCTGTGTTTTAAGTGCTTCAAAGATGGCAGTAGTCAGAGTGGAGGGCCTTGAGAACACAAGTTTTAAGCAGCTATTGAGGGTCTTCTTTTCTGACTATAGAATACATTTATAATTTATCTTACAAAATATTTTCAAATGCAGAAGAGTATATACAGGGTGCAGATATCTCAGATACACTATCAGAAATACACAGGAATTACTTTCTTTACTGAGGGTTTTTGGTTGGTTGGTTTTGTGAGTTTTTTTGTTTTGTATTGTTTTGGGGGGTTGTTTGTTTGGGTTGTTTTTCCAGACAGGGTTTCTTTGGCTGCCCTGGAACTAGCTCTGTAGACAAGGCTAGCTTTGAACTCACAGATACCTGCCTGCCTCTAGCTCCCTAGTGCTGGGATTAAAGATATGTACTTCCACCACCTGGCTTTCTTTACCAGTCTTTAGCAGCTTGAATTGAGAACATTCAGACTTATCATTTGTCTCCTGTTGTGTCCTGTCTGTTCTCCATGCTGCTTTCCTCTCTCTTACAGTAGTATCTACATGCTTTGACAACTGCAGATGGCCCCCATGCTGGCCTTGCCAACCTTGGCCTCCAAGGCCTTAAAGAAGCACAGATGAGTTTGGACCCAAGGAGGCATGCAACACAGAAGTTGATGAAGCAGGCTCCTAGAGAGAAAAGCCCATCCCAACAGTGTGTGCAGAAGTGGAGGACCAGAGACACCTGAGACCTTCATCCCAAGTTCTGTCTCTCTGAAGGACATAGCTGTTAAATAATGAGCTTAAAATTTGTGTCTTGTTCTGCCTTGGGTAAGGAAAATTAATAATAGTACTTCTCCTCTGTTAGACTGGTGTTCTTCAAAAATAGCTCAAGAAAGCAAATCATGCCCTCAGTTAACCTTGGCATTCTTCTCCAGTGCTGTAAAATGGCCTGGAGCTCGCATTGCTGTAGCTGGTTTGACCCTGTGCTCACAGCTCACGAGCTTTTCAGGCCCCAAGTACTTTTGCCCACTTGGACTCCTTCTGTATGAAATTTAAATTTATATTTTATAATTGTGTTTGTATACAATGACGGTATTCATATTTTGAATTAAAATAGTCCTTTATCTAAAATTTATATTATTTTTACTAAAAAATTAAGTAAAATTTTGGTTGCATGCCCTGGGAGTCTGAGACACTCTGCCTAATGGACAGCTTGCCCTGTCTGTATTCAGAGGCCTCGGGAAAATGCAGCTAATGTTCCCTGTCCCTTCCCACCACCTCCAGGTTATCTTTGTCACTCTGCCCAGGAACGCTTTGTTCTTGCCCATCCTAGCTAGAACTCAGGGCATTGCTCACTACCATTCGGTCCTGGGAGAGAGACAGAGACCGGGGCTGGGGTGCGGACACAGATAGGTAGACATTTTTATCCTGGTTTCTACTTTACAGCTTGTGCCACACTTCACAGGGTGAGGCTCCTTTCTTTCTCAAGCCCTTTTATCCATCCGTCCTCGCAGCTCCTAGGTGTAAGGTCGTTGTATCACGTACTGAAAGTGATAGACAGACCCACTCAGATTTCCCCGCAGTTTCTCCACAGAGTGCTCCTGCTCCCAGACGGGGTTAGGTGAGGGCTGTGATGGGCAGACTGCAAGCTCCTTCTGCCTCTTCAGTTCTCAGGACAAAGAAGATGGCAGCCTCAGAATGCCAGCCTGAGCTGTCCTGCTTTTTAGGTAACCTTTCCCCATATGTCTCTCTGGGTTTGAGTGCAATGGAAAAGCCGACAGAACCAGTATGCCCAGGAGTGCTGCCCCGTTCTGTGCCAGCAGAAGCCACCTAATTGCCCTCCTGCTTGTATAGCACGCTTGCCCGTCATCAGCAGGCATCCCATGTGGATTTCTTGTCAGTAGGAGAGCTGGCCACCCGGTTTGTCTTTTTTCTTCTCACCTCTACCACCAAGTGTCACGTGGCATGAAGGCAGAATACCTTCACAGAAGCACAAAGAAAAGCACACATTTTGATAAACATATTCTATCAGCATTAACAAATTTAATAAAGAAATTTGATCTGCATCTCCACTTTCCTATTCTTTAATAACGCTCTTACAACTTAATATATATCTTTAATATGCCCCCCAAAAAATCACTGTTAGGAGAATAATGTATTGTACTTAGGTTATTATTTCTTGACCTTTCCTGAAAGGATTTATGTGTGCTTTCATTTACGGGAATTTCACTTTCTGGTATTTCTTCTAAACTACCTCATTCCCTTATTGCCCCCACTAAATCACAAGAAAATAAAAATATCCAAGAGGAACTTAAAGGATTCTAAATAAAACTAAATTATAAAGGTGAAATTAACCCACAGCACCTGGGTGGCTTTTATTTTCCTCCTTCGGTGTTTCTGTCATATACTCGTGAGTCCCAGGGAAAATGCCTGGTTTCTTTTCTCTGAGGTTTCCTAGTAGCTTTCTAGGAATTCAGTAAATGTTCTCACCATTCATATTCCTGTTTCACATATTATAAAATTGAGCCCTGTGTGGCGGCACACACCTTTAATCCCAGAACTCAGAAGTAGAGACAGGTGGACCTCTTGAGTTTGAGGTCAGGCTGGTCTACATGATGAATTCCAGGAGTAGGACTACATAGTAAGAGCCTATCTTTAAAACAAAACATGACAAAAAAAACGGTCTGCTTTAGCATATGAACTCTGAAATTGTAGTTAGATTTTAGCATGGTTTATGCAGCTGAGTCATTTGCCTTTATGTGTGTAGATTGGAGTTGACTTGCACAGTTGTGTCTTGTGTAAGATACTGCATGACAGTTTATGAACTTGTTGCTGTTTTCCCACAATATTGGCAGTTTTTGAGAGTTTTTCAGCACTAAGCATTTAACAGCGTTCTACAACAATGAAATGATTTAAAACTTTTGTACATTTAGATGTTATGCTATATTGTATATATCAACATTAAGAATATTGTAAATATCAGTGTCTGTACAATAATGGAAGATTTTCCCCAAAATATATACTCATCTTTCCATGTTTACTTGTGACATATTAAAATACCCAATTTTAAGCTTTGAGAAATTATCTTACAATGAAAGCTAAGGAGAAATGTGCTGCCAAGTCTGTGTAAGTAAAGATTTGAAAATAAAACAGGTGGTTTTCGGTGTCTTTGTAAATTAAATGAAAGCTAAGGAGAAATGTGCTGCCAAGTCTGTGTAAGTAAAGATTTGAAAATAAAACAGGTGGTTTTCGGTGTCTTTGTAAATTATTAGCAATCTATGTATTGAATTACAAAAAGAAGGCACTGTCTTAGTTATCGTTACATTGCTGTGGCAAAAATAAAAGCTGACCAAGGCAACTTACAAAAGAGAGCATTTAATTTGGGGTTCACATCCCTAGAGTGTTCTGAAGGGTCTGTGACCATCATGTCAAGGAGTATGGCAGCAGGCATGGCATTGGGGCAGTAACTGAGAGCTTTCACATCCCCAGACAGGAGGCAGAGAGAGCTCTGGAAACCTCAAAGCCTCCTCAGTGTCTCCTCCTCCACAGTCACCTAAACACCTATAGACCAGTAGAGACTGTGATGACAAGACTCTGGTGAGATCAGTGCCTTTGGAAGAAATGTCTGGCAGGATTTGATTGTGTGATGTTTAGGAAAAGATGGTGCAGATAGAAGTGGCCTTAGCACAGCTGTGGCCGTAAGAAACCCTGAAAACATTTTGATCAAAGAGTAGGGTATATGAAGATGGCCGTTACGACAGCAACATACAACCAGCCCACTTAATTTTAAAAAGTAGAAGCCAATTCGGTAGTCACCTCATGATGACCTGAGTTGTGTTCCCAAGAGCCACATGGCAGAAAGAACCATCTGCAGGTTGCCCTCTTACCTCCACACATACACATGTGCACACAAAATAGCTCTTATTTATTTATTTATTAAAGATTTCTGCCTCCTCCCCGCTACTGCCTCCCATTTCCCTCCCCCTCCCCCAATCAAGTCCCCCTCCCTCATCAGCCCAAAGAGCAATCAGGGTTCCCTGCTCTGTGGGAAGTCCAAGGACCACCCACCTCCATCCAGGTCTATAAGGTGAGCATCCAAACTGCCTAGGCTCCCACAAAGCCAGTATGTGCAGTAGGATCAAAAACCCATTGCCATTGTTCTTGACTTCTCAGTAGTCCTCATTGTCCGCTATGTTCAGCCAGTCCGGTTTTATCCCATGATTTTTCAGACCCGGGCCAGCTGGCCTTGGTGAGTTCCTGATAGAACATCCCCATTGTGTTTAAGTGACTAGAATGTGAAAATCTCCTCTTTAAAATCGGGACAAATATTGGTTTAATTGGTTTTGAACTTAGCAATTTTTTCCCCTAGCATGTAAGAAATTACACATTTTATATAGAGCAAGATAATATCTTTAGTTTCTATATTATCCTCATTAAAAACACCAACTTATTGTAGCTCAGTGCCTGAGATCTTGTAATCTCTGTCTATTTACATAGGACCTTGGCATTCCATGCTAGTCTGTCCTCTGGATCTGGTAGTGTAGAATGGAGAATCAGATTGGCCCCTATGTCTGCTACAGCTGTATGTCTGCTACAGGTGTTTAGCTACTGGGGCTACTTGCTGAAGAGATTCCTAATAGTTCTAGGCTGAAACCTTCATCCTTTTTGAATTTTTGGGTATCCTGCAAAATAATTTTATTTTTTATAGTAATTTAAAGTCAAGTACTCAAGAAAAATGGTTTATTTACAAGACAATGAAATCCTGAGTTTTAATTCCATAAAGCATTTATTTCGTTGGAAGTTCATTCCTCCATATGTTAGGGATTCTTACTAATTAAACATTGGCTTTAACTTTCTGGTTGGGGCCATGGCTTGGAGGCCTGCATTGTGTTAGTCTCATTTGTGTTTAAATGGTTTTCTGCATCACTGAACCTCAAGTTTATCTTCCCACAGAATGCAAGTTTAAACACAGGCTTACACCACATATGCATTTGTTCAGAATCTTGCGTTTTCCAAAAGAGGTACTCAAATAGAATGCTTCCCCCCCCCCCATATTTTCCCTATTACCCGACAAGGCATATTAGGGTATAAAGGATTTAGTGTGTATGAGGCTGGGGTATAGGGGAGGGCAGTGTAGCTATTGGGCTAACCAAAACTAAGGATATTTGTAAACTTTACAGAAACCCACTAGTTAGCTAATCTCCAAATACAACAGGATTACCCGCATTAATGAGAGAGTGCCACTCCCAGAAGACATGGGTTATTAAACTGAAATTGAAGTTCAAGGCAAGGGATGACTCCCTATTGATCAGGAAGGCCCCAGAAGTCTCCAGAATAACACAGTCCTCATTGCCCTTGGTCACTGTGCTGTCTATTCCTGTCACCTTGACACACAAACTAGTTACCTGAAAGGAGGGAACCTCAACTGAGAAGATGCCTCCATAAGATCTAACTGTAGGGCATTTTCTTAATTAGTGATTGGTGGGGATGACCCACAATGGTGTCATCCCTGGGCTGTTGGTCCTGGGTTTCTAAGAAAGGCTGTGAGCAAACCAGTAAGCAGCACCCCTCCATGGCCTCTGCATCAGCTCCTGCTTCCAGGTTCCTGCCCTGATTGACTTCCATTGGTGAAACATAAGCTACATAAACCCTTTTTCCCCAGCTTGGTTTTTGGTCATGGTGTTTCATTACAGCAATAGAAACCCTATCTTCAACATCACATCGTTACCCATTGTATCGATATGGTAAGTCCCTGAAATCAATACACACTTTGGATTGGACGTGAAGAAATCAGCTTCAGTTGTGTGGAAAACTTCATCCCTGCTGACTCGTGTTCACAGTGCCAGAAGGCGCTATGTCATCCTGAGGACTGAAAAGAGGCAGTATTTCCTACCCAGTGCTAGACCCAGCATGAATCAGTAGTGACTTGCCGGCTCCGATCATCTCTATGAGAATGCCCCAAATAGACTCATATGTTTGAACACTTGGTCCCCAGTGGGTGGAGCTGTTTGGGAAGAATTAGGGAGCAAGACATTGCCTTGGAGGAGGTATATCATAGGGAGTTGGTGGGAGGTGCATTGAGGTTTCAAAAGCCATCCCCAGTGAGTTAGCTCTCTTGTCTCTGCGGCTACTCCAATGCCATGCCTACCAGCCTGCTGCCGTGCTCCCCACTATAATGGTCATGATCTCACCATATGAAACTGTAAGCCCCCAATAACCTCTTTCTGTAAGTTGTCTTGGTGTCTCCAGAACAATAGAAGAGTAACTAAGATCCCAGGCAAGATCTGCCCATTTGTGTAATAGTGGCGTGACTTACGGGGGAAACTTAACTGCTTCTCAATTGGATATGAGGCCTGTTCCACAGGAAGGAATATTAAGGAAGGCACTGTAATCCTAGTCAAAAGCTGGGAAGGTCATGGGCCCAAGGTTAGAGCCTGTTCTTGTTATTTTGGTAAATGGTGAACAACACACAAATGGTATTCATTTAAACACTGCCTGGCTCATTATCTCCAGCCCCTTATTGGCTAACTCTTACATATTCGTTTAACCCATCTCCATTAATGTGTATTGCCAATTGACTGTGGCTTACTGGCATGAGTCTAACCAGTGTCTGTCTCAGAGAGGAGAGCTATGGTGTCTGCCTGACTCTGCTTTCTTTCTCCCAGCATTCTGTTCGGTCTACTTCACCTATCTAAATTCTGCCCTATCAAAACGCCAAGGCAGTTTCTTTATTTGACCAATGAAAGCAACACATAGAAAGAAGACCCTGCTACAAATGGTCATGTCAAATTGCCTATAGTGACACTGGAGGCATTTATCCTTTATTTCTGGAAAAAAAAAAACCCCTACCACTACTATGCTTTAGTGATGTTTCTGTATTTTCTGATTTCTCCCCATTAGTGTATATATTTTTATAATCAAAGAAAAATAACGATAAAAAGATTCTTGATGTCAATTCAGAATGCTAATAGGGTGAGGGCCAAGCAGGGGTTTGGCTTTGCACAGAGAGCCGGGGTGACACAGTACCATTGGTAGAGAAGTGGAGTCAGGTACCAGGGACAGGTAAGATGATCTGAATGGTTCCACTCCTCTGGGAAAAGATTCGTGTTCAAATGGTGACCACAGGATACACAGGAAAAACTGTCTTTTCTACCAAATAGGTAGGCAGCGCCACAAAGGATTTTACCCAGTTCCTCGAGATGCCCAACATGGAAAGCTGGGGCTACTTGATTCTTCTACATTTTCCTAATTCTTCAATCAGTTATCAGTTCAATGGAGGCAGGCTGAGACATGGGACATCCTGAGCTTTGGGTGAATTTAGCAACAGCCAAGCCATAGGTTCCTCTGAAAGAGTTCCACCTAGAAACTTCAGGTGGTCTGAGGAACCCAGACAGGAGAATTGACTTGACTGGTAATACCAGTGGGTTGTCAGGGCAGCTTCTGATAAGATCCATATACCAACCTCCACTGGTGGTTGTTGCAAAAAGAGCCAGGCCACTTGTTTGTCCCAGCTGCCCGGCTAGCTTACACCTGAAATAACCACACAGAAACTGTATTGATTAAAACACTGCTTGGCCATTAGCTCTAACTTCATATTGGCTAACTCTTACATATTAATTTAACCCATCTCCATTAATCTGTGTATCGCTATGTAGCAGTGGCTTACTGGAGATTCTAACTGGTGTTCATCTCAGGTGGAAAATCCATGGCTTCTCTGACTCTGCCCTTCTTCCTCTCAGCATTCAGTTCTGTTTTCTCCACCTACCTAAGTTCCGCCCTATCAACTAGGCTAAGGCAGTTTCTTTATTCATTAACCAATGAAAGCAACACACAAACAGAAGGCACTCCTACACCTGGTGGTCACAATTTTGAGACCTGGGGAACTGACTCACAGACTCTTTCATCCCCAAAGTCCTCCTTCTTCTCATGAGCCCCCCAAGTCCTGATGCTGTGAACCTTTTAATACCTCCTTACCACGCTTCTCCCTCTCTGGTGGACAGAATTGCACGTCCGAGTGGAAGCACCAGCCATCAGCTGCCACAGCTGTACCGCATTTGCACAGGAAATCAGTCTCAGCAAAAAGAAGCTACCTTGTGCCAGAAGATGACTATTCCCCCAGGGCAAGCCATCCAGTGGCTGAGGAACATGAAAACAGAAATGCTTAAAGCCTTGCTCTAGGACAGCTTAGTGAAGACAGCTGAGATGTTCCTGAGATTGGATGTTGCACATGCTCAGCTCTTTCTTCCTCTCAGGCCCCCACAAGTGTTCTGAAGAGTACTTCCCAGTAAACTTGTCACAGAGGAGTCTGAATTTCAGAGTTTGCTTTCCTGAAGC